AGAGAGAGAGAGAGAGAGAGAGAGAGAGAGAGAGAGAGAGAGAGAGAGAGAGAGAGAGAGACAGGGGTGGGAGAGAAAAGGAGAGAACTCGGACTGTGGGTCGTATACTTACATCTCTGAGTCACTTCATTGAGGGGTTGCTACGTACTTACTATATGCATCGAGTGTCGCAAGTGTACACTACATACATTTACACTGACATTCTCTATTAACTGATTAATGCAGTTTGATATACCTCGGTCTGGAATAGGGCTTCTAGCTCCTTCTGATCCAAATATCCATCTCTGTTGTAATCTGTAAAGGCGTAAATATTAATTAAACCAAAAAAACAACAATATAGCCAGAAAATACTACATTAAATCATCACAAAAATCATCTGATCTACAAGCTCATATTGTAACTGCATCGTGAATTTGCTTCGAAATTTAAGTGACGATTCAGTTCTAGCTACAAGCAACATCCGGCTAAACTTCCACCTTGCATTCTATGTTTTTAGCATGACAAATTCTCTACAATGCATGGAAATAACAACAGCTCTGAAGTTATTTTATGTAGCATGCTGTGCACTAAACCCCAAATAATTTCCCCACTAACCCCAAGAAAAAGCAGTGATGAGTGATAGCCTATTTCAGCCCCGCACCCTCCATCACCCGTTACCGTGCAAAACAAACATGCATCACAGCAATGACCGACGATGGCGTCACACAAATGACCGACGAATGGCATCACACAAATGACCGATGATGTCACACAAATGACCGACGGATGGTGTCACACAAATGACCAATGGTTCCACACGAGCGACTGATGATGGTGTCTCAAAAATGACCGATGACATCACACAAATGACCGATGGTGCCGGCACAGAACAGAACGATGGTGATCCACAAATGACCGATAGTAGTGTCACACATATGACTGATGGTAGTGCCAGACAGATGACAGGTGAGAGTATGACACATGAATGCCCGACGACGATGTCCCATCAGTGACTGAAGTTGTACCACAAATGACTAACACTCGCTAGTCGCTACACTACGATCTATCACAAAGGTGGACACAAAATCAAAACCTCCTCAATTGAAACTAATCACAGTGTACACATCGAGGACTGGGGCTGTCGCGAAACACATGCGACATCGCACTCACACCTCTCGACTCTCAACTATTGACGTACATACTCTTGACTGCGTATACTAGGGATCTGACCAACGACACTATACTCCACGAGTCTCCACAGCAAGCCTCGAGGCAAAATGTCGGTGAAAAGCAGAGAGCTTGGAAAACGAGGGTTTAATCATCGTTAGCAACATGGATAACAGTCAGACAGCTAGGCTTGCAAGTTAACACGGCGGTTTAGCAATTCGGTTCGATGATCGCGGGGACTGTTATTGCTGGGGGCTGTGAAGCCGGCCACGGCAAGCAGGGATGCAAGGAACACACATCCTCCCCATGACGGGAGATGCGCCGACGTTTCGCGTCGGCCCGCCACAAGGCGGCGCCGCTGGAGCTGCGGCGACACGCACACACGGCGCTTACCGTGCATACTGAAGAAAGTTTTCGGATTAAAAGAGCCTGGGTCCATGTGATCATTGTCTGTCCACACGTCCTGCATCTGCTGTTTGCTTCCCTACAAACGCAAAAAGGCACGCCAGTACACCAACATGCAGACGACGAGAGAACCGGCGACCCACCCACCGAGACGTTGTGGGAGGGCGGGCGGGCGGCGGCGCAGTGCCACCTACAATCGGGACGCTCTCTGCGCAGATTCGAAATCCTCGGAGCACGTCCGATCACGTCGAATCTGGCCGGACTCGGGGCGGACGTCGGTGACCGACCGGTCGCTCTCGCTCCCTCCCGCAGGCCTGCGGAGGAGCAGTCCGTGTGGAGAGAATGCGGCCGGGAAGACACCGGATGGACGACTGTGGGGGAAGTATCCCCCCTGGGAATCCCTCCCACAAGGCGTCGGCGGGGGGGAAACGCGCGAGCTCTCACGGAGGGGAGAGAGAGAGCCCTTACCATGCATGATGAAGAAGGTTTTGGGGTTGAAGGAATTTGGGTCCATGTGATCGGATTCTTGCCAGACCTGCTCCATCTGGGCCTTGCTGCCCTGCAAAGTAAAGCCACCCACCGATTAGTTCCGCCCCCACGGCGCCCGGACAGCAGCGCCCTCTACGTGACCTTGATTTCCGGCATTTGACCCCCGGAATTCTAGGCCGCGTAGCAGCGCAGGATGCGGCGGCAAACCTTCGACAAATGCAAAACCCGGAGTGCGGATCGTAGATCGGATGCAAGTGTCGAATTGTGGCCTCTGAATTTTGAATCTGAATCTTCGCAATCGTCAAAGATCACAGCGTAATATTAGACGGCGTCCTCGTTTAACGGGACTGGCGATGTTTTTGATTGTTGTTTTTTTACGTTAAAGACAGTGTGAATGTCGATTTTCACTTCGTGAAAAGATTACCAGAAGCTGGTCAGCATCACGACTATGCGTAATGATCTCAAAGTTAAGGTTCGGGTCGACAAATGATTAACAGTGAGAAGGATGTGAGCATCCGACCGCCAGCATAGCGCGGGTTAGCGTTTGCCGAAGTGGTGCCCGCCGTGCGTGAGTGTTAGTTCTCCAGACCAAGAGCCCCGCCTGACACCAGCGCGCCACCTAGGGGGGCCTCCTCCTACCATGTAAGTTGAAGAAAGTTTTAGCGTCAAAGTATTCGGGGTCCATTCCGTCGTCGTCCTCCCAGACCTGCATCAGCTGAGCCTTGCTTCCCTGTAAAGCAACGCACATGCACACACACGCACGCACATGCGTGGTTAGTTCAATACGGCCACGCCCGATGGCTGGCTCTGACTGGTCGCTAAACTACCGCCATCTACAGGATTAGAAAATAAAGAATACACTCAAGCCTCCATATGAGGGTTGCTGACGGGAAATCCGAAAAAATGTCATCTATAGACAGATTCTATAAACCGTTCTATAGAGGTAGTTACACAGAGGTCGTTGCCTGTCAGGCAAGTGAAGTGCCAAAAGTGTCCCTTATATAGACAGGTGTCTGTTCTACACAGGTTTCCACTAACAGGTTTGACTGTAACTGCTTACTATAATTTATGGTTTAAGAGCAATGATAGTTCTAGCTTTATTACATGAGAATTTTGCATTAACTAATAGCTAACTCAAAGCCAAACGCCCTGTATGGCTACAGGTTGTATTAATGAATTAGTAGGTCTCAGGGGAAAGATAGTGAATATAAAAATAAGTTGTGGATATAGAAATCAGTTAACCCTAACCCTAATCCTAATCCTAACCCTAATCCTAACTCTATCCCTAATTCTAAAATAAAACAAAATTAGCCAAAAATAATAAAAAATAAAATAAATAAGAGACAAAATTAGCCAATCAGAGCCGTCCACTATCGGATCACTATCTCTCAATTTACTCTTTTATTATTTCTGTCTCTCAGTAAATCTGTGTGTCTTGCAGCCCGCATCGCTACAAGCTGTCGGACCTGTGTGACTGGGTGTATAACGTCACCCATAGGAGTCGCGAGGACTGGGGCTACAGGCGTGTCAACATCAGACCGTGGAGCCTGTGAGTGCGGCGCCACCTACCTTACCACTGCGCGTTTACAATGAGAAAGGGAAACTATACGCACGTTTTAAACTGACTACGTCACGAATTTTCTATGGTGTATTTTGTTTAAAAAAAAAATTCCCATTTTTTTACATTAAAAGTAAGTACTACTGGGACTAAATGTATCGTCAAATTCTTACCTGATAAGATTGGTTCTCAACTAGTTAAAAATCCAAAAAACCTGGACGATTTGATACTATGATCCTGACGTTAATTGCTTGCTATGGGCTATTATGTATGAATCACGAGTGTATGTTTACATCGAACAATATAGTAAAATAGGAAATATAATGCATCAATTTAACCATGAAAAGTGAACGGAATTACTTACATTTTGTGAAAAGTGGAAATGTATTTTTTATTTTACTATTTACGGTGACGTAATCACTTTAACTACGGTGTCCGTGTGATCACACTTGATGTGAATGCCTGTTACGAACAAGGCCGATTGCATTAAGGTGTGGTATCATCGCATGACCTCTTTCTGTGTTACAGTTATTTTAAGACGAAGGTATCGTTGGTTGAGAAGCTGCCGGGACGTCCTAAGCTTGGCTGGGACAAGCTGGAGAGGGTGAGTGTAGGAGCAATGGTGGCCGCAAGGTCTCGCTACAGCTGTGTGCGTGCGTGCATATGTGTGTGTGTGTGAATATACGTGTATATGTGTGA